AACATCATGCATGACTGATTCAAATGAAAAGATCTGTTTCCTGTCAACAAAAAATCGCCTTGTTTGTATTTCATTCACTCCTGAAACATCACCGCAAAATCAAGTTTTCGTGTACTTCACAAAGAAACATGGTGACGTTTCTTTTTTGTTGAGTATTTATTGACGTGCAATGAAATAGAAAGATCTACTCAATCAGATACGGCTATTTATACATTTAGCCCACGTTCTTATTTATACTGGTACGTACATGAACTTCCTTGTACTGGTATTATGCAGTTCAAGTACATGTGTTAATGAATGATAGAAAATGGAAAATATAGGAAAAGAGTGTGATGCTGGAATTAGGAAAAGGAAAGAAATAAAAGACAATTTTCAGTGATGAGAAAAACATAGTGTTATGACTTGAGCAAATATATTTAAGGGCAATAACCCTGGGGTCTGACAAATAATTCCCACGATAAGTTATTATGTACAAATGTTGTACCAGAGGAGCTATATTTATCTCGGTTTTAGTTTAGTGATGTCATCAAGTCCAACTTTATAGAGAGTTTCAAACCCTAACTTGAAAATATGTTGGAATGCATGACATGTCTGGTCACATGATCAGTGCATGCCTAACTCTCTGATGGTTGGCTTCGATTCCAGCTTTTCCTATATATTAACATCCAAAACCAGTTGGTGTCATTTACGCACATCTCTGCCCTATTCCCCATTGCCCTATAGTTGATGTAAAAGAAAATTAATGAAATGTTTTTTCTCCACACTTATACAAATGTATGTCCATTGGTGTAAAATAGGGAATTTCCATCTTAGGCTGTTTCTTTGAGATATCAACTTTTCCTTTGAGATATCAACTTTTCCTTGTAGCTTTTGAACAAAAACCAAATCAGTTGACAAGGTTTAGCATACACCATTTCCTGACTTTTGTGTAGAAGTATTAAAATCCCCCTTTAGGACTTGTATAGTAAGACATGATTTATTAGTTTTCAATTTCATGACGTGGGCTTTTTCCACATTTTGACGTCTGAATTTTTCCATTTTCGTAGGTGACATATATGTCATTGATGACCCAGGCTTATGTCATGCATGCACATAAAATGAAGTGTAATATAAACATTTCCTGTAGTTATTTCTTGGCTGTTACAGTGGTTGATGATGGGCACACAGGAATGATCGAGATATGTTAATTCTCTGAGCATAATTAATATGGGTTAAATTTTGAATAATTTCCCTGGGTAAAATATCGCTCGCACTATAAACTCAACATGATGTTACACTGTTGACTCTTTAAAAGTCTTTTTTTTTTGTAATGATTCGAGTAAGAAAAAAATATTGTCCTGACATATTTCTATTAGGTGCCTTTATATATTTAGAAAATAAAGCAACACAAAGGAGTTTTCCTGGCAAAGAGTTACTTCCCCTTAGCAAAGCATTCACAATTCCTGTACTGCCAGAAATGTCCTGGATTCTGTCACACTGGCTGTTTCAATTCATCTTATAAGTCTTGTTTTTAAATGGCAAACAAAAAAATCTTTTATTAATTCTGTAAAATGCAGTACATAATGTTTTTCATGAAATATGTCAGTAGAAAAACGGCTTAGATTCACCTCCGAGTCGAAACATGTGACTGTTGCTCCAATAACTTCCGACGTTTGGAAGAGATTTTACATGTACTAGGTACTGTACATATACGTGTGGTCGTTTGGAACATATTTTAGAGGGTTTCATGGCAGACTACATAATTACTCCTTAATTTAATGTTTTTAACTGTTAACAAAACACGTTTTATATCCGTTTAACAAACATGTACGATACATCCTAATGAAGTGCTGTTGAGCTTTTTTTCTCAAGCTTACTTTTTCCCTGTCTTTCCTTATTTCCTTAACTACAATATATCATAACACAAAAATCTTCAGACCTAATTTGCTGAACTTTGCTATGTTTGATGTTATTCATGATTGACATATTATTTTTACTAATATATACATGTATAGCTATAAGGTAAGATTACTTTTACAGGCTTTATAACTGTGCCATGTCTATGTACAGATTACATAATGTGTTTCTATACACTAGTGGGTGTCTAGCACGTTTTTAAATAAACGTACATCCCCCACTGTCAAATTTAAGGTGCGTCATGACCAGTACTCCTGTACTGAGTTTAAAGTACAAAAAAAAAAAGAGTTGAGAATTGGTCCCCTTCCATTCCCCTTCCATAGGGACAAATGCTGTCTGAGCATACAGCCGGAGCTGCCATTTCGGCACTCACAGCTAGCATTCTACAATTCTAGCACTACCCAACCACGTACTCATTTACAGCTAAGTAAACTGGAACAATCAGCGTAAAGTATCTTGCTCAAAGATACAACACAGTGCCGTGCCGTGACTCAAACCCGCAACCCTTCGGTCACGAGCCCGGCGTCCTACCACTAGACTACCGTGCCACATTATACCTCCTTGTTATAAGACCTTTCTTCAATTATTTTTTAAGATTTGGCAAATTACTCGACCAAAAGTAGCTGTAAAGAGAAATAAATTGAATTTCTGGATATTAGATGCTTGTTATATTGTTCATAATGTGTAAGTAATAGGTGCTTGTATAAGGTATAGGTACATTTGTATGTGTACACAGATTTCTCTGAAAGATAGAACAAATTTTATTGATACCTTGAATCTACTTCATTAGCTCACCTGGCACGAAGTGCCAAGTGAGCTTATGCCGTGGCGCGTCGTCCGTCTGCCGTCCGTCCGTCCTCGTCTGTCAACTTTTCCTTTAAACAACTTCTTCTGAAGAACGGACAAGCCTAGAGTCATGATACTTGGCTGAAAGCTTCGTTGGTAGGAGCCCTACAAAGTTTGAGAATGAAAATGACCTTGACTTGTTTTCAAGGTCACAGGGGTCAAATATGTCAAAAACTTCAAACGACTTCTTCTGAAGAACTTAAAGGTATAGAATCTTCATATTTAGCTGATGGCTTTCTGGGATGGAGCCAAACAAAGTTTGAGACTGAAAATTACCTTGACCTACTTTCAAGGTTACAGGGGTCAAATGTGTCAAACACTTCAAACGACTTCTTCTGAAGAACTGAAAGGTATATAATCTTTATATTTGGCTGGTGGCTTGCTAGGATAGAGCCCTACAAAGTTTGAGAATGAAAACTAGTTTGACCTACTTTCAAGGTCACAGCGTTTAAATATGTCAAACAGTTCAAACAGCTTCTTCTGAATAATTATAAGGCATAAAACTATAATATTTGGCTGGTGACTTCCTGGGATAGAGCTCACCAAAGTTTGCGAATGAAAATGACCTTGACCTACTTTCAAGGTCACAGGGGGCATATATGGCAAAAGTTTCAAATGACTTCTCCTGAAGAACTGAAAGGTATAGAATCTCTATATTTGGCTTGTAGCTTCCTAGGAAAGAGCCGAACAAAGTTTGAGAATGAAAATGACCTTGACTTGTTTTCAAGGTCACAGGGGTCAAATATGCCAAAAACTTCAAACGACTTCTTCTGAAGAACTTACAGGTATAGAATCTTCATATTTAGCTGATAGCTTTCTGGGATGGAGCCAAACAAAGTTTGAGACTGAAAATTACCTTGACCTACTTTCAAGGTTACAGGGGTCAAATGTGTCAAACACTTCAAACGACTTCTTCTGAAGAACTTAAAGGAATAGAATCTTCCTATTTAGCTGATGGCTTTCTGGGATGGAGCCAAACAAAGTTTGAGACTCAAAATTACCTTGACCTACTTTCAAGGTTACAGGGGTCAAATGTGTCAAACACTTCAAACGACTTCTTCTGAAGAACTGAAAGGTATAGAATCTTTATATTTGGCTGGTGGCTTGCTAGGATAGAGCCCTACAAAGTTTGAGAATGAAAACTAGTTTGACCTACTTTCAAGGTCACAGCGTTTAAATATGTCAAACAGTTCAAACAGCTTCTTCTGAATAATTATAAGGCATAAAACTATAATATTTGGCTGGTGACTTCCTGGGATAGAGCTCACCAAAGTTTGCGAATGAAAAGGCCCTCAACCTACTTTAGAGATCACAGAGGTCAACAACATTTTAATGGATTTGTTCTTGAGAACTAAAAGGAATGGATTCATAAGATTTGGCTGGTAGATTTTTGGAATAGAGCTAACCAATTTGAGAAGGAAAATGACATTGACCTACTTACAAGATCACAGGGAAAAATATGTCAAGCAACTTCTGAAGAAGAATCAAAAAGCATAGAATCGTATAATAATATTTTGCTGGTAGTTTCAACAGATGGAGCCAAGTTTGCGAGGGAAATATTTATAGTGCAATATAATATTTAATGAGAATATTTTGCTATGACTGCTTAAATAGTCAGGTGAGCGATACAGGCCCTCTTGGGCCTCTTGTTTTTCAACTGCACTTATCAAGTTTCCTGAATGTCTTTGGGGGGGGGGGGGGGGAAATTGAGGGAAACGGGCCTAGCATCTACAGTAGCCTCAGCTTAAATCTTTATTGATCATGAGCCAATTGCAATTGCCTATTACAAGCTTATAATTTGGCTATTTGATACCTGTGCTGCTGATATATAAACAGGCCTGTTATTACCTATGCATTTTCTATTTTAATGTATGTTAAGATTGTCAGCTGGTCTTTACATACGTAAATGTCTTCCACCATAAGTAGTATTCGCTAATCCTCAGGTAATATTTAAATGGTATTTACATAGTAGAAAATTCAAGAAGCTCCCTATTTACTTCTGACAGGGAGTCTGTCGTTCAGGTATCTGTTTAACATGTATATGCATGCCTCACATACACGTGTATATATGGTCAAAATTCAACGTTACATAAGTGTAACACCCGCATCAAAGATCTTCATTGTATGGGGTGCTTTAAAATGAATATATTATGGGTACATGTCGTACATTGCCCGTGTTTGGGTATGACAGTGGTGCTGGCCGGGGTATGTGTATGTGTATATACATGTACACCCCCGTATTTACTGTTATATGACACTCAAGACTTATATGTGTAGATAATAAAACAGGAAGTATTAAAGTTGAGTGTGCTTAACTTAATGTACAACAGAGCAAGAGGCTTACACACGCCTCATTACAGGAAATCAAGACTTAATCATCATGTGGGACAATTTGGGACATGGTCAACATAACATCAATATAAAGCAGTTCTGTGTATATAAGCATCTGGGATGTGCATGTGTTCGAAGGATTCTTACTTGTAGATCTGCACCCAATATGCAGTGACTCGATCAGATTCGTGTTCGCAATAACTACTGGATATATAGTTTGGAGAATGTTGGACTTAATTTAATTATTTACAATTCTATAGAATATACGTAGAAAATATCATGAAGAGAAGCATTCAATGATTTCGTTTTTTACTTTAGAAGTTTAACATTCAAAATATTTTGTAAAATATAATTCAGGTTTATCATATATATTTTTGTGCCGTTCTAGGGTTTTCATAAGATTTTTTTCGTAAATATCAAACAGCTGTTAACTTTGAGAAGTAAAAATTTTAAAATTTGATACTAAATTATAGATTCAACAAGTTATTTAATTTTTCACTTACGTTTGCCATTTCTTATCTTTTGGTATAACCTATTTATATTGAAGTTTCATCTGGGTTTTTTAACAGAAGGAAGTTTGTTAATTTTTTGTTAAAAGTTTGGTGTTTCATTGAAATGTTGGAAAGGTATATACAGGTGTAAATGAACCTGTACCTTGTACTCAAACATTGAAACCTTATCTGTGATCAATATTTCCACCAAATTTAGGACTGGACACTTCTAGATCTCCGTCATATATCAAATGTAACGTGTATAATATTCAGGAAGTCTTGGTAAGGCATACACAACAGATAATAACTGTAACGTCGTATACTTGTTTTGACAGGGTGAGAAATAATACAGACATTGTATACACATTATAAAGAGCTGATTTTACTGAGAATTTCAATTGTGTGATATATTTCCTTCTAATATTTGTCAGAAAATTGGAGATAACATAATTTTCAATGAGGTAATTGTAGCTGTCCTGTATTTAAACGTGCTAAAAGGATTAATTAAGGAAGACTTCTTTCATGTAATCATTTCTGTCGTCGGATTTACTTGAGACTCTGATCTCCTGGATTTTACGGAAAAAAGGAAAATATTAAGTGCAAATATTCCTATCTATATCTACCTCGTGGATTTTAAGGACATATATGCCTCATGTATATGTACGTGAAAATCTTTGAATAAGTTTTGTGACGAAATTGTGTGGAATTACTCTAAAATGGCTAATACTAGTTTGACTAATGGATCTTCAAAGGGACCTGCTTTACAACCAAATAAAGCGAAACCTACAAATCATGGCCCTAAGCTACCACAACCACGGGAGAAGGTCATTCCTGTACCAAAGAAAGGATCTGGGGAGGCGGATACACTCCCATACCAGAATAGGTAAACAGGTTTTGTAAGATCACTTTTCGACAACAGTATTCTCCATGTTTTGTTAAAAAAGATTGTCAATTTTTCTCAACACCTTTTTGAAAATGTTTCAAGGATATATCTTACTGTGTGAATTTAATCTCCTTTCAAGAAGAGTTCTGCATGCTTATTTGCTAATTAGAGACCTGGCACCAATATCACCAACACTGAGTCCGGCTTGAGCTCCGTTTGAGCCAACAAAGTCTCAATGTAAGTCTTTGGGAGATGATGTTTTCCTTCCTGGACAGCGTGAATCAGACAGGGTCTTGGTGGTGGCTGAGATCTAGACTTGACAGCCATTTGTATGAACCATCTTAAAGTTATGGGGGAATCGAAAGAATCAAACGATATTAAGGTTAAGAAGTATAATCCTAGTCCTATGTATTGTATCTTCAACATAGAAGAGTTCCAATTTGTTCGGCATTTTTCTGACTTGGAAATGCTTGTCTTATTTCCAACTGCAAAAATGTATAAATAAAAGAAATAGAATTATTAAATTTCCTTCTTTTCACAAAATGTCTTAACCATTAGGATTTTCTCTATAAATCTGGACCGGTTTGTTTAAATCTGGAAGCTTATTTTTTTACCCACTGCTCAATCTAGATCTCCGAACTGTGATATCGAAGTTAATGATATGTAAAATAACACAGAAAACATTTCTAATTATTATGATGTTTTTTGGTAAATTGCAAGCTAATTAAGGTATTATGATAACAGAATTTGTGTGTTGTCATTGACATGTACATGTATGGTCAGCACATAGGAGGGAAGGATACATGTATGTATCTAATGGTATATTTGAAAACTTAATTAAAATTAGAGTCAATGTGATTTGTTTGGAAAGTTGCTGTGTAGAGATTTTTGTGGTTTTAAACAGGCATGATATACCTTTTTTTATTCATATTTGTTCATAAACATGGACTCATCAAATAAAAATGAAGCATTTTATATTTAACCTACATTTAGAATTATTACAATTTTGTCAAGAGATTTTTTTATTTTTTTTCGAAATATCATTTCACAAAAGTGATCAAGCATGCCACATTTAATCTCTTACAAATTTAGAAACCTGATAAATGAAGAATTAAAAAGATATATGAAAAAAGAGAAATTTCTATCTTATTGAGAGCTGATACAAGACAAGTTAAGCATATGCAATATGTGCAATGAATTTTATTGGTACATATATTTAGTATATTATGTGGCGCTATTTTTTACTACATGTAGCGTATTTTGACCAGGAAGTTCATTGGGTCTAGTTCTTGGGGTGGGTCTTGTCACTGATAACACTATATAGTAGGTAAATAAAAGCAAGGTATGTAAAACTTGAGTCAGTGTACATGTACATATATATACACACTAGTAGGTATTAAGGTAAGCATCTAATTATGTACCAGCTGTCTTGTACGCAGCGGTTAGTAATGTTAGCTGACACTGAACTAAGTACATGCATTTGATGTCATACATTTATTATACTGTCACAAATGTCCGTTTTACTGGCGAAACACTGCCACAAATTTCAAAATACAGTAGGGTTGTCCCTATTCTAATTCATATAAGTCAAAATCACCAGAAGAAACGATGATTTTAAGACATTTTTCAGTGTTTTCTTTAAATTCTGGGTCGCTCTGCCGTGGATTGGTGACGTCAGGAATATTCAAAATGAGGCGAATTTATATTGAACTTTTTCGGCTCATGCTATTGTTCATGATCATGAAAAACCATTTTCATGATGTGTCGGGGTCAGGCGGGGTCATGGATGTCATTAACAATCGCCATCCAGGCTTCATATGTAATGAGAAATTTGTGGACGGTATATGGTGGTTTTACTGTCGCAAATTACGCTGATTGACCAATCAAATGAAATCATATCTCAAAAGAATTAGAATTAAGGATACATGTATGTAGATTTTCACACATATTATTTGTTGCATTTTTAGGTCACCTGAGCTTTGCTCAAGTGACCTATTCCAATCGCTTTTCGTCCGTCGTCGTCCGTCGTCGTCCGTCGTCTGTCGTCCGTCGTCCGTCGTGCGTCGTGCGTAAACTTTTACATTTTTAACTTCTTCTCAAGAACCAGTGGATGGATTTTTTTCAAACTTGGTCAGAATCATCCTTGGTAGATGAGGCTTCAAAATTGTAAAATTGGGATTCCTACCCCAACCCCTGGGGCCAGGGCGGGGCCCCAAAGGGAAAATTATCCAATATTTCAAAAATCTTCTTCTCCAGACTCAGAGGTACTACAGTGATTTTCTCTACGTGGAAAGAAAGATCATCAGGGGCTTTACTTAAATTGTAAATTTCAGGACCCCCGAGCTATCCGTTCTCCCTTGGGGAGGGGGTAAAGTTTACTATAGTTTATATAGGGAAATAACACTTTTGGGTATATTTTGACAACTTTCTGTAGGAAATTATTTTTACTTGGTGAGAATTATCCTTGGAGGTAGATGGTTTCAAATTGTAAAATTGAGATTCCTACCCCGACCCCTGGGGCCAGGGCGGGGCCCCAAAGGGAAAATTAA